TGCTCGCCGAGAGGAGGAAGCGCTGTCGACGGGGGAGCCTGCCTGCGCCGCGTGGACCCGAAGTAAGTACTTTTAGTTCGATATAGGAAACGTCGACTTCAGCTACGCTATTCTCGTAGCTGAAGTTGCGTTTCCTATATCGATCCCCCGCCCCAGTGTGGACCAGCCCTAAGTGCTTGAGGACCTGCTCCATGATTTTTCCAGGGACTGAGGTGAGGCCAACTGGCCTGTAGTTCCCTGGATCCTCCTTCTTCCCTTTTTTAAAGATGGGCACTACATTAGCCTTTTTCTAGTCATCCGGGACCTCCCCCGATCGCCATGAGTTTTCAAAGATAATGGCCAATGGCTCTTCAATCACATCCGCCAACTCCTTTAGCACCCTTGGATGCAGTGCATCCGGTCCCACGGACTTGTTCTCGTCCAGCTTTTCTAAATAGTCCTTAACCACTTCTTTTTCCACAGAGGGCTTGTCACCTCCTCCCCATGTTGTGCTGCCCAGTGCAGCAGTCTGGGAGCTGACCTTGTTCGTGAAGACAGAGGCAAAAAAAGCATTGAGTACATTAGCTTTTTCCACATCCTCTGTCACTAGGTTGTCTCCCTCATTCAGTAAGGGGACCACACTTCTTCTTGTTGCTAACATACCTGAAGAAACACTTCTTTTGTTACTCTTAACATCTCTTGCTAGCTGCAACTGCAAGTGTGATTTGGCCTTCCTGATTTCACTCCTGCATGCCTGAGCAATATTTTTATACTTCTCCCTGGTCATTTGTCCAATCTTCCACTTCTTGTAAGCTTCTTTTTCGTGTTTAAGATCAGCAAGGATTTCACTGTTAAGCCAAGCTGGTCGCCTGCCATATTTACTATTCTTTCTACACATCGGGACAGTTTGTTCCTGCAACCTCAATAAGGATTCTTTAAAATTATGCTGGTCTTGCTTCCGCAGCTAATGTTGCAGATTTAGAACTTAGATTCATCTTTCTCCATCTCTAGATTCTCCTAAATCAGCTAGGCCCAGGTCCTCAAAAGTATCTAGGCACTGAACTCCCACCGAAACCAGTAGGAGTCGGGCGCCCAAGAACCTTTGAGAGTCTGGGCATTAGTCCCTCCTCCCCCTGTTGATTCAGGATTGTCAGTGTATTGATCAGAATAGCACAGGTGGTTTGTGGGCCTGTTTTTCAGGCATGCATAGGCCCTTCCGATTTCCACAGGAACATACTTACACATGTGCTGGAAATCATGGGGTTACACATCCACATCAGAGTTTGGAAGCGGATGAGTTTGAAAATCTGGCCTCTTAGGTCCGGATGCATCGAGTGTTAACGAGATGTAAAGGACTGTCTCATGACTTTATCACATAAGATGATGCTTGTGTATTCTTCTGTGTGCTTCAGAGCCATAAAACAATGGGGGAAAACCTTTTAAAACCGTTCCTTGAAAATCCTCAGTTAGCAGAGGGGGTGGGTGCTCTGTGGTAGCATGTGGAGAAGCCTGGTGTACCACCTGCAGCCGGCAGGACCTGGGAGCTCTGCACAGAGGGAGTGAGCATTTCACAGCCATGTGACTGTGACTTTTCTCTCATGCACTCCCAGCCAACTTGGAAGTAAGGGGGGGGGCTGCAGCATGCACATCTGCCCTATGTACATGAGGACTGTATGTTAATCCCATCTTCCGTCTGATTGGCAGGTGAATGAGGAAGGCAGTGAGGCAGCAGCTTCTACCGTAGTTATGATCTCGGGGCGTTCGTTTCCCATGAACAAAATGATCTTCAATGCTAACAGGCCCTTCCTGCTGCTCATCCGGGAAGTTGCCATCAACACCATCATCTTCATGGGCCGAATATCCAATCCCTGCCCTTAAGGAGCCGTGGCCAGGTCCCAGCCTCTCCGTCCACATGGGTATCCAGTCAATAAAATATCATTTTCCCCATGTCTGTCTCCGATGCAGCATTTTCTGCAGTATTGCTGGTCAGCAGTTTTGAGGGCCTCCTGGGAAGGCCCAACTTTCTCTCAGGGCAGCTGTCCTGTTATTTGACACAACCCTTACTTAGGGACTGTAACCTATTAAGCTGTTTACCCCCTTGCTGTCACTGTCAGACAAGAGAGGGTGATGTGCTCTCATCACCAGAAGAAGTCCCATTCTGCATTAAAAGGAGGCTGGATTCTCCCAGTATTTTGCACCAAGATTTGTTGTGTATCGTTGTCCTCATTCGGGCCTCAACTGTAACTCTGATCACATCTTCCATTTAAAAAAAAAATCCAGCAAGCTAAAATATGAATGGCCAGTTTCCTCCTTGTTATAAACCTTTCAGTACATGAGAGAGGAGCAGGCTGGTCCCGTAGAGCCCTCAATCTTTAATAAATGGGTGTTTCTCCCCAGCCCACTCTTATCCTAGTTGATGGGCACATCAAACTTCCTGCTGGGGTGTGGCGAATCTTCCCACTCACTCATAGAGTCAGAATGCCACTTCTTGAAATTTGGCCTGCCTTGCCCCTCTGTTACGATAGGGGAGGCTGGGCCATATTTGAGTGAGTGGTGTTACAATGGCCACTAACACGCTGAGGCTCAAAGTGAGAAATACTGCCCTGAAAGCTTTGGATATTAAGGTATGTGCTTTTAAAAGGTTTCCTAGGCTATGCAAAATTAGACAGCAGGATCAAAAGACTGATTTACTTAAAGTAGAATGCGTTTATTGGAATCAATGTATTGATGGTCCCAGTTCCATCTAGATTACATTGGACAGTCCCATTTTGTAAGGGGGAGGGCTCGAAATTAAATAAATAAATTTTGCATTAGAACAATGCTAAATTAAGGCATAACCCTGCTCCATGGAAGTCAATGGCAAAACTGTCAGGGTATGTCTACACTGCAATGTAAATCCAGGATTCAAACTCTGGCTCAAGCCTAACCCCCCTTCTATCTACATACACATCATGCTAACCCAAGGCTCGGAGTGAGGATCCTAGGACCCCACAAGGGTGGAGGGTTCAAACCGGGACTCGAATTCTACTAACCCTGGGCTTACAATGCAGTGTAGATGTACCCTCAGAGAGCAGTTGCCCATTACACCCCTCTGTTGGCCTTCAGGAACTTCTAGTCTCTAGGCAGGACCCCAATACACATGAATGAATTGCAGTAATTTAACTGGGAAATTTTGGCCCAGTAGCTGTGGCAGAAACACCTCTTGGCGGTGGTACACGAAGCACCTGACAGCCAAAAGCGTTGCATGACCCCACTATACTGCTTTGAAATGGTATCGACTTGTCAGACATGCCTGACTGAAATCTGTTTATTCACCAGTGAAAGGACCTGCCAGTCAAAGTTGTAAATATCTGTCAGTTACTGAAAGGGTTTTCCCCATAAGCAAATGAGTTTTTTTTCATCAGCTCTGCAAATGAGTCCTGAAAGTTCCATGTTCATTAAACTTCCATTCAGAATTACAGAAATCCACAATTAAGGTAAACGCAACAGCCATTACTCTGCCTCTAGCTCCTGCTAATCAACCCCCCATATTAAGGGCTTAAAGAATTCCTTTATCTACTTCATTTGCACAGTTAGTTTGTGGAGTTGAGAAACTATAGCTTGTGTGGCTTTGGTTTTGTGCATCTGTCTTCTATATAAGTGTGGTCTCCGATCCTTAACTTTTGCTCCACCAGTGAATAGGTGTGTAGCTATACGTCTGTGCTATACTTCACAGTGCTCTTATCATGTCAGTTTCTGAATCCTGAATAGTTGTCTTGAATGTGGCCCCCTGTTGAGGAAGAGCTATAAAAGCCTGTCTCTTATCCGTGACAAGGGCATGGTCTTGAGGCAGAGGTATTATAAGGTATTAATGTAGAGGCAGGGAGGTGCACTTCAGTCTAAATCAGGGGTCTCAAACACACGGCCCGTGGAGTTATTTCCTGTGGCCCACCATAGGCGCCGACTCCACCTGCCCCCTGCCTTCCCTCCTTCCCCCAAGCGCGCTGCGTCCCTACTCCTCTGCCTACCTCCCAGCACTTCCTGTTGCTGAACAGCTGTTTGGTGGCATTTCTAGAAGGGAGGGGGGAGGAGCAGGGACGCAGTGTGCTCAGGTGAGGAGGCAAAGAAGAGGCGGAGCCAGGGAGGGGATTTGGAGGAGTTGGAATAGGGCAGTGGCTCTCAAACTTTTTTATTGGTGACCCGTTTCACATAGCAAGCCTCTGAGTGTGACCTCCCTTATACATTAAAAATCCTTTTTTAAAAATATATTTAACAACATTATAAATGCTGGAGGCAAAGCTGGGTTTGGGGTGGAGGCTGACCGCTTGCGACCCCCTGAGGGGTCCCGACCCCCAGTTTGAGAACCCTTGGAATAGGGGCAGGGAGGGGTCGAAGTTGGGGCGGGGAAGGGTTGGGAAGAGGCAGGGCCTCATGGACTAGACGAGCAGTCTGAGGTATGAAGTTCAGCATATATGATTCTTTGCTGTGAGTAGCTGGGAAGAATGTTTGTTAAAAGTGGCAACGTATTTTGTATGAATAGTTACTTTAAAAAGTTCCTGCCATTACAGCTATGTTGATAGACTGTTAGTGTAGATCATCATCAGTGTTACTGACTACATAAGGAATAGTTACAGGTGTTTATATTTTATTAAAACCCCTCTTCGCATTAGTTTTTAAAAAGTTAATACATTGACTTTTAATAGCATACTATATTATCTTCATTTTTTACTATACTTTTGTATCGTCGTATGAAGAGGTTTCAGTGATGCAGCCCTTGGGCCAATGTACTAGTCCTCATGTGGCCCTTGTGGTGATTTGAGTTTGAGATCCCTGGTCTAAATGCTACCGTAACATGTTAGGGGTGCTCTGTACATGTATATATGTAAATAGTTTACAGATAAGGTGCCAGTAGATAGCACTCAAGGTTATGTAGCATAGTTCCTGGGTTTTGTTGGACCGATTAAAACATGCACTGTAAATGGCTTCTCCTACGCAACTCATTAAATCAGCTCTTGACACTATAGGCCTATCAATGGCTGACTGTAAGGTACTTAAGTTAGATGATCTGCTAGTTTCTGGAATCACCAGTGCAGAGAGGTGTGTTGGTTGCATGTGAGATTGTGTCCTAGTTCTCAGTGGGTCTGGGGCAGAATGAAGGGTGTTCTATATGGATTCTCTAAACCAGGATCTGAATGCCTGTGCCTTTCCATACTGTCTAATATTCAGTATCTTTCCCTGAAGTGGAGTTTCAACAGGGAAAGACCAAGTGGCTGACTATGGTTTTGTTTTTGTATTATGAGCATGTTGTAATTTTGAGTCTCCTCCCCTTCCCCCCCCCCCCCCAAAAACAAACAAAATAAAAAAAAAATTGATGAGATCTTAACTCTATAAGCCCAGGTTCAGGCAGCTTCATGTTACTGAAACTCTTAGGCTATTGAATGATTTTATTTCTCTGAGGTGCTGGGCTCTTGTCTTTATGGTGTAAAACTTGCGTAGACTGTAGGTGAGAAAAGGCTAGCAGACCCCTTGGTTCATCCCTTGCTGCTACTCTTCCATGGGAGTTGGGGTCTGAGAGAGCACCCCTCTCTGAGAGGAGGAGATGGCCTGGCTGCAGTGCTGTCTGTACGTGGAAAGGCTGGGACCCGGTGTCCTCAAGCAGGCTCCACAGGTGGCCCAGTAGTCCAGGGAGAAAAAGCTGCCAAACTACTACATTTCCCTTCCCTGCTGCTGCTTTTCCAGGGCAGCCTCTTCCTCTTGCTTATTGGACCTCAGTTCTCGGCTCCAGTCCCTACCCCCTAAAATTCATCTCCTTCTGCAGCCTCTGGCTTCCTTCATCTCACTCCCTCGACCCTGAAGTGAGGTGCTGATGCTGCTAGTGGCGAAGAGGAAGGCTGAGAGAGGTGCAGAGCAAAGAGGAGCCAGCTCTCGAGCCTGCCGCTTGCGCTCTGCCCCCGAAGCACAGAGGTAGGTCGGAAAGAGCTGCTCAGAGGAAGGACAAAGGCACAGATGAGCTGCCTGGAAACAGGTGAGAGTTGTTCTAGGAGCATATTGCATCTAGAGAAAACAATCTGCAGCCAGAAGCTGGGAGAACCCTGCTCCCAGGAGGGGCCTTGTGGCTTGCGCAGAGGAGCTATGCGCACTCTGCAGCCAGAAAAAGCCTGCTGGTGTGTATTTGAGGAAAGGTAGCAAAGAGATCAGGTGTTTTAGTGCTTGGCCGAGACTCACGGGTAGAAGACGTGCCCGACAGAATACGCTGCATCCTTGGTCCAGTCAGTGGCCGAGTTCACCTCTCACACTTGGAATGTTAAGTGCTTTAACCTGGTAGGTTTAGTTATAGAAGCACCAGATCTCCAGCTAAAGGAGCAGATTCCAAAGGCATTGCTGGAACTCCCTGGGGTAATGAGACTTATGTTGTAGTGCAGCCGCAGCAGTGCTGTCCCAATGTGGCTTGTATTACTGTCAGACTGTGCTATAGTCCACATGGATATAAACACACTGGAGCGAAAACAACTGAACTTTGTCAAAAGCTGATCACCTGAGAACTCTGCAGAAGGGGAACAGAAGCTTGCAAAGATGGACACAGAGTGTCGCAAGCTGTTGTACCACCGCAGCCAGAAGCCATTTACTTGCACGAGTATCTTTGGCTCAGTCTATTCACAGACTTTCCAATAGGTAGAGTCCAGAATCACTGCAGTTTGCCACCTAGGCTCACAGGAAGTTACAGGAGTAAGTGGGGGGATACTGTTTGCCAGAATCATGGAAAAGACAATAGGTGGAGGATGGAGGGTTACATAATGGAGGTTCTGGGTTATATAATGTATATATGTGTTTGCATAGTAGCTCTCCATCTCTTTAATCATCTATTCTCCACCGTCTGTCTCTTCCATGACTGTGGCAAACCAACTTCTGATCCCTCACTTCCATAACCTGGTCCCTGGCTTGACTTGCCCTCTAAGGGCAGGTTACAAGTGGTGAACTCCACCAAGTGACTTATGCTGTTTTGCTAGCCCCACTATGGTGAGGATCTTAAAGCACTTAAGTCTCAGCTTCCTATGAGACACGTGTACCCATTTTACAGGAGGGAAGGCTCAAGACTACATTCAACATTTTCACACTGGCCACTGATTTTTGGGTGCCCAGCCTGAGAACTTTGTAGGCCTGATTTTTAGAAGTGCTGGGCACTCAAACTCCAGGGTGAGGTGAGGATGTGCAGCTCCTTTGAAAATCAGCCCCAATCTCAAGTTGAGCACCTATAATCAGTGGCCACTGTTCAAAGTGTTGACTGTAACTTATCTAACAGCAGTGGCTGAGCTAGGATTAGAAGCCAGATCTCCTGAGGCTAGGTCTACACTACAGCAGGGGGTCGACCTAAGATACGCAACTTCAGCTACGTGAATAGCGTAGCTGAAGTGGCGTATTTTAGGTCGACTTACCTAGCTGTGAGAACGGCGGCAAGTCGACCGCTGCCGTGCCGCCGTCGACTCCGCTACCACCTCTTGCCGCGGTGGATTTCCGGAGTCGACGGTACAGCCATCAGGGATCGATTTTATCGCATCTTCACTAGACGCGGTAAGTCGATCCCTGATAGACCGATTGCTACCCGCCGGATCGGCGGGTAGTGAAGACGTGCCCTGAGTCCCATTCCTAGGCCTTCTTCTTTCACTGGTTAAGGAGGGTATAAGAACAAGCAAGTCCTGGGCCCAGTTTTCAGGGCAGGGCCTTCATATCACTTGCATGTGCAAACAGTGGCGCTTCAGGGGCAGCAGCTATGTTTCTGGAGTTCAAATAGATGCAGGTGGAGGCCCTAGTTTTGTAGGGGTGGCCTTTGGGTGAGGAAGAGTTGACTTCCATTTCACTTGTGGGCTGCGAAGAAGAATTGGTTAATCCAGCCTAGGAGTGTGGGCAACAGATGAGGAGGCTGTATATTAGGAAAAATTCCTCAGGTGCTGGCCAAAGGCTATTTTCCCTCTGATTCAGTGTTTTCTGCGAGGCTCTCTGCTGCTGAGCACTTTCCCGCTTGCTGTGGGAGAGTGGGCTTGATAGAACCAGGGGCTATGCTGCCCTATCACTTCAGCAAGCCATTTTCCTCCCAGCTGTGGGAGGGGAGAGTGCTGCCCCAGCAAGACTGCTGCTGTGTTCTCTGCAGAGGCTGTCAGGCTGCACAAGGAACAGAGGACTCTTGGTTCAGAACGGCCTTTTCAGGCTTGATGCCTATAAGAAGGGGCTCAAAATGGCCATCAAAAGGTCACCTCTCCTGCCTCTGAATCCCTAGGAGGGAGAAATCAAATGGGAATTTGGGGAGACCAAAGATGTTACCATCTGAGTAGTTATCAGTTCTGCTCTGTGACTGAGGGTGGTGGGGAGAAACCAAGTGGGTCCTGAGCTTAGATGGGGGGAGGACCGATAAATGAAAGACTGGGACAAGATGGCCCAGGGCCAGCTCCAGCCACAGGAGAGCTTGTGTTTGAATGGCATGTTACTAATGTGTGTAAAGAATAGATTGAATGAATATAACAGACTAGTCAGTTCCAAAAAAGACAACAGTGAGTATTAAACCATTTAATTTTCAAACCACTCACATGCATAATGTTCTTTTACAGTGTTAAAAGAAAGAAGAAAATGCAATTTGTTTTTAATACAAACAGAATTTCAAGTATACATTTATAGAATTTTCAAAGGTTCCTAACCAAGTTGCTACGTTTTCATTCACATTGTTCTTAAAGCTGTTTGAGAGCTTTTTCTAAACTGATTTAAATGTTTTGTACAATTGTTTATCTTCCCCCTTTATGTCTTAAACCCTGGTCCTCTTGCTTCCCTTCCCTATCAGCACCATCAACAATCAGTGTGGGCTAGCAGCCACACACCAGCTGGCCCTCACTAAGTGCTGGTGTGTGCCTGAGTCACAGAGAGGAAAGGAAGGTTAGAGGACCAGCTTGGGCGAAGCTTGTACAATCATTTAAGACCAGTTCTGATCTTCACAAATTACACATAGCAGGGCCCCACTTCAACCTACTGCAGACTCAGTGTGAACGTCACCTTTTTAAAATAAGGAATCTAACAATGCCCCACGCCAAAAAAAAAAAAAAGAGAAGTTAGTACAGCATGAAACTTCTTACCTGTGAAAATAGTCTCAAGTGTTAGGACAGGTGTCATACACCAGCTTCAGATTCATAGGTCAACATTTTAAAGAGATGTCCCAATTGTTATATTTTTGGTTACTCTAAACACCAGGCAACAGCAGGGTCCATGTGAGACGAGAATAACATTTGGACTTTAAAACCATAGAACTGAGTAGGGCCCCATCTACACTAAAAAAACCCAGTAACAGCTCTGTTGTGGCTCAGTCCTGTTATAACAGAGTTAAGCCTGGGGTGTGTTGATGGTCCATCTGCTGTACTTAGGGTGACCAGATGTCCCGATTTTATAGGGACAGTCCCGATTTTTGGGTCTTTTTCTTATATAGGTTATTAACCCCTGTCCTGATTTTTCACATTTGCTGTCTGGTCACCCTAGCTGTACTATAACTGGTGTAACTTCTGGCCTATTATAAATGGGTGTTAAACACGCTCTACAGTGGAGGGCACTTTTTTTAGGCCCACTTATATATAAAAGCATTCACACAGATCGATTTGTGCCCGTTCGGAGAACGCTCTCGCCATGCTGAGCTACAGCCACGGTTGCCGGGGTGGGTAATCCCCTGGTTTTTTTTAGTGTAGCCTGGGCCGCGATCTTGCACAAGGAGGGGATGCTGAGGTAGGAGGTAGAGCTGCATTTGCTTATGAGGCTGCAGCAGGCAATGGCAGCAGCCAAAGGTTTAGCAACATCACTCCCTCCAAAACTCTCTTGCTAAAACAATCCAGCTGCATGTACAAGTGGCTACAAAGCCAGCAACAGCTACACCCATCTTAAGATTTAAAGTGCATTTCTTCAGACATGGGGTTTTTCTTCCTTAACGTAACCTAGGTAAAGTGCTGTTCTCATTGGAAAAGGGACTTTGTAAAAATGGCACCTTTTTACTTAGCGGGTCTGTTTCTCCCCTGTGTCTTCGGAGTCAGATCTGCTGCCTAGTGACTAAAATAAGGTATTTATTGCTTTTCACACCTGTCAGCTCTGCAGTAGAGAGAGGGAGCTGGATTCTTCCCCTAGGGTAATAGGATTAACTCAGTTCCAACCGCAGGAAGTTAAGCCCACAGTGTTACAGGTCTAACACTGGCCTTTGGCCTTCATTATTAGAGCATGAACAAGCCAGAAAGCACCCAGCTTTACTTTCAGAACCGAAAGGTAGTTTGTAGGGCTGGCTGTTAGAAAAAAGATCTTACTTGTAAACCAAAGCTGGAGGTGGGGAGAATGAACACACAACCCCAGATGCCATTTTCACAGAGTCACTTAACAGAGCAGACCTGCATTTTAAAAACACAGGTGGGGCAAAATTAAATCTGTGTCCTACATCAGTAGTTCTCAACCTGTGGGCTGTGGACCCCTGGGGTGGGGGGAAAGGGGCACAGACTATGTCTAGGGTCTACAAAAGACTTTGAACAGCATTAAACTACATGTATAGATAACAGATTCCCCAAGGCGGTCTACATTTCCAGTTGGAATTTTGTAGGGGTCTGCAAATGAAAAAAGGTTGAGAACCACTGTTCTACATAAAAGCTTTGTACATAGCAACATGTGTAGGCATGGCAACCTCAGCACTCAGCTAGAGGGAGGTAGTTACTGTCCTGTACGTCTTCTGCAGCGTGATGCAACTCAGTGGATGGAGTGATTACTCCAGAAAACCACCACCACAAAAACCTTTTCCTCTGTTGTTTTTCTAAGGACAAAGTTACCCCAGTTCTTTTCTATTGAAAACATATTCAATCCTCCCCCTCTAAGGGGTTTCTGAATTTTAGAAATTGATTGTCAGTTTAGTATATTATGAATCAAATTTGATTAGCAAATAGTAATAAAAAGCCACTTATAGT